CTCAGCAAGTGCTGGGCATAGAATGAAGCCTTGGGGTGGGGCATTGGTCAGACACAATCCTGCTGGTGCTCACGGTGCATGGGGAGGGAGATACTGCTGTTCCCGCCTGGGCACAGAGACCAAGGCCCTGAGAAGCGGAGGCACTTGCTCAAGGTCACACAGACACACACAGCCGGCTTTTTGCTGGCACGTGCATTGAGTCCATCTGACCCCAAGTCTGTGTTTCCTTCTCATTGAGGCAGGGTGTTTGGGGCAGACACCCCAGCACCAGACCTGGGTTCTGACCCTCGCTGCCCCATGCACTGCTGAGGAACTTCAGCACCTTCCTCTATAAAGCCTGATTGACTTCCGGCTTGTGAAGAGCCTGGCGCGCGGTGGGTGCGTGTGAGGACCTGCCGAGGTCGTCTCTGGTCCTGGCTGTTTGCACTGAACAAGTCCTTCCTGAGACTCTGCTTACTAGAGGCAGCAGAGGGTCAGCTAGTGCAGGGCATGGGGCCGGCAGGGTCGGGAGGAGTCTGCAGATTTCCAGCATGGAAAGGTCCCATCTCTCCTGGGGTCCTCTAAAGACCGGCTCTGCTGGGGGATGGGGCATCAGCCCAGGAGTGGGTATGGGGGTGGGGAGCTGGAGCAGGGCTCCCCTGCTGTGATTTATGGGGGAGCCGGTAATGAAGCCGGCTGGCAGTAAATAATCAGACATGAAAATCTTACCATTTAATTAACCAAAAATAAATGACCAAGGGCCCTGGGAAGAAGGGACTTCTGGCCACCCCAGAGTCAGCTGCTGCCGTGTGCAGAGTGGAACACTCACTTGCTCGTCACTCGTTCATTCATTGTGCATCATTCATGCCAACGGGCACCATCCTTGCACTTACAGTGGAGTCTTGTCATCCCCTCTGTGCCCAGGGGAAGCAGAGGCCAAGAGGACACAGAACAGCCCAGAGTCCCACAGGAGTTAGTAAGTGATGCAGGGGTGACCCAGTGGCTCCTGAAGGCAGGACTGCAGCCCCCAGTCCTCTTTCCTGCCCAGATGCGTTCCCTCTTGCCAGCCATCCCTCTGGACCCTCCTAGTGCTCTCCTGCTGTGTTGCCCAAGCAGCTGCTGAGTGACCCTGGGCCTTGGGAGATGGCATGGGGCTGGGTGCACGCCTCGCTCTGCTTGGGTGGTGACTCCTTTTGGTTCAAAGGAGTGCTTTAGGAGCGAGCCCCTGAATTTGGGTGAGCACTGCTCCCTGGCATTGTGTGATGGGTCCATTCCAGCCAGCTACATGAAGAAGGGACAAGGAGGGGGAGCAGGGAGAGGGAGAGCCAGGATGCCCCCCAGTTTCCTGTTTTTGTTGTTGTAGCTCTTCTCTTGATTTTAAATTTCTTTAAACATTTTTCTATGGGGGGGGGGTGGTCTCGTTCTTAATTTGAAAGCTAGCTAACATTTTGGAGTCCTTACCACATGCCAGCTGCTGTGCTAAATACTTCATATAATGACCTCATTTGGTTTTCAGTTGCCTTGCGGAGTGAGCTTTCTTATTATCTCTCTCTGTCTTCTTTTTTTAGATGGACTTAAAGGGCTTAAATTCCTTTAAGGCTCAGAGAGGGGTGGTGAATGCCCCAAGGACGCACAGCTGCTAAGAGCGGACTGAAGCCATGTCTGTTTGAACTCAAAGCCACACTTGAATTTGTCAGCTCTCTCTGCTGCCTCCCTGTTTGAGAGCTGGCAGGGTGGGGTGGGCAGCTGCAGAAACCTCAGTCTTGGATCACAGGAAGTGGACGATTCCTGTAGGTCCAAGAAGAGTGGGAGGGAAGATGGACTAGATGGAGAAGGTGGGGCCTATGGGCCTGCCTACTGTGTTCTGGCTTTGGGAGGCCGTGGGGGGCTGGTGACGGAGAGCCCCGCTGCATCAGACAAACCTGGGCTTGCGTGGCTGCTCTGCGATGGCTTTGGCCAGCTTCACGACTTGGTGAGGCAAGGATGGCAATGGGGCTCATACCCCAGGGTCGTGGGGGGGGCTCCGTGAGATTGTGCACAATTGTGCTCAGCAGAATGTGCCAGGTAAACAGTAAGTGCTCAATAAATGTGAGCCACTTTTAACTCTTCGCGATCTAGGTTAGTATTACTGTTGAATACAAATTCCTCTCTTTTGCAGGACTTTTGTAAGAATCAGATAACGTATTCAGAATGCCTAGTGTACTATCTGGTACATGCTGGGCACTTGATAAATTTAGGGGTATTTCTTTCTGTAGAACATCTTTTTTTATGTGCCTGTGCACGCTGAAGAAAGTCTAGAAGGAAAAATACCTGAATGCCAACGGTGACTTTTTTTCAGGGTGATAGAATCTCAGGTGATATTTTTCTTCTTTGTGATTTTCTGTATCTTCAGCCATGAGGCGGTATGATGTTTGCACCCGGAAGGCAAGGACTTTAAAAAGAAACTCAGAAATGGCAGAAGCTGCTGTGACCAGGCCAGTAGGACTCCTCCCACCCCCACCCCGTCTAACCCGATGGATCTCTTGGTTTCCTGGGCGAAAGGGGACCGAGAGAGGGGGGACCACTGTGTCCTGGACCCCTGGGTCTCAGACTTGGGGATTAGAAGTGCCATCTTAGGCTCTTGCTGTGGGGCATCCCCTGAGGGACTTCCAGGGCCAGGTCGGGAGACACTCCTATTGCCCTGACACTTCCTTAAAGTTGAGGGTGCCTCCAGAGCAACCCCCATGACTCCAGACTCCCACGCCTCAAGCACGCCCCGGTTTCTTCCTTCCTCCCAGCACAGCCTCTACTCCTGGCCCATTGGCATATGGAATGTGGAGACAATAGGAGCTGAGTGTAACCACTGTTTACAGAAAAAAAATGGTACAAGATTTATTTATTGGAAGGTGACTGAGGAATATGAATTCTACACTCCATTTAAAATGCTTTTTATTTCTCTCAGCCTTGGGGCTCAGAGTACATCTAATTTCACCCACAGCTATAATTCTCCACCAAACAGTTCCTGCTGCTCCTCTGGGGTCCCCAGGAACCGAGTTAGTTTATGTCTGCCACTGATGAGGCTCAGGCAGGGGCAGCGCCGGCTACGTGCCAGTGCGCATGGCGCCCTCCCACCCCCACGCCCCAGCCGGATGTTGGGGTTTGTGCTTGCACAGGGGCCCCAGCCCCAGCCGGGCGTGTGGTGCCCGTGGCGCCAGGCTCCAGGCCTTGGCTGGCCTGAACTCGAGCAGGCGAGTGGCCCATATCTCATGCTGGACGTGTTGATTGCTCCAACCTCAGAGCTAACAAACAATTAGTTTGTTAGTATATTTATCCCGTGAACATTGGAGCCTGTGATTACAAATCCAATAGCTGGATTGTGGCAGCATTTGGAGATAAATCTGTGCTCCAGGCCTGGTCGTGGGGGCGGGGGACATCTGCAGAGGGAGGGGGAGACGTCTCGGTGGCCTTGCCTGCCCATCCCAGCGGCCCTTTTTCCAGTTGTTTGTCGACCTGTCTGTCTGCTGGCCTGTTTGTCTGGGTGCATCTCAGTCGACTTGCCTGTCTGCCTGTCTGAGTGCTGACTAGCCTGCCTGCCTGCCCTCCATTCTTCCTCTACACCAGGTCCGGGGCTGCAGAAATGCAGTGGACGACCCCCTCCTTGCACTCATGTTCCCCTCGGAGAGATGGTGACACCGTGTCATCAGTGGAGCTGGGATTTAAATGTGGATCTGCTTGACTCTTGGGCCCCACTCGTCACTGCTGTCTCTGCTGTCTCTGGAGGTGCTCGGTTCAGAGCAGGCCCGGCGCCCGGTCCTCAGCAGCGGGCGGGCCTGTGACCACCTTTTCTCCGAGGTCCAGGGCTATTTGAGGGCTCTGCAGGGCAACCTGGGCTTGTGAGGAGGAATTTCAGGCCCTGATCTGTGCTTAAACTCCCATCAGCCAAAGTCTTTTTTTTTTTTTAGACATAATTCATATACCAAAAATTCAGTCTTTCAAGTTGTCCATTCAGTAGTTATTAGTGTAATCAGAGCTTATACAATTATTATCACCATCTATTTCCAGAACATTTTAATCAGTCCCCGAAAAGCGTCCTATACCTATAAAGCACTTTGTTCCTGGCAGCCACTCTCCCGCTCACATGCTTTCTGTTTCTGTGGATTTGCCTTGTCTGAACATTTCATGTAAATGGAATCATATGACATGGGCTCTGGTGTCTGTTTTTTTCTTCACTTAACGTGATAAGATTGAGGTCCAGCCATGTTATAGCACATTAGTCCTCCATTCCTTTTTATTGCCAAATAATATTCCACCATATTTTGTATCCATTAGTCATTGATGGATGTTTGGGTTGTTTCGCTTTTTTGGCTACCATGACTAATGTGGCTGCAAAGATTCACACACAAGTGTTTGCACTGTGTACCACATGCAAGTGTTTTCCATTCTCTCAGAACTGCTGGGTCATGTGCTAACACCATGTTTAAACTTTTCAGGAACCACCTTCCAAAGGCTCCCATTGCCCTGGTGTTCTGGAGGGTTGGAATGGGGATCCCTGCTGAGTCGTGAGCAGCCTTGTGGGGTGGGGCCCTGGTTAGAGCTCTGTGAGTCCTGACTCCTCACCATTTACCCCAAGAGCATGAGGTCTGGCACTTCCCACTTTTTATCTTGTTTACCCTCCAGTGGTGCCAGTGAGGAAGGTATTTGTTACCCCTGAGTTTCAATGAGGTCAGGCAATTTGCCAGTGAGTGGCAGAGTTGAGTCTTGAATTCAGCTCTATCTGAATCCCAAATCCTTGCATTTAGCCTCAAAACTACATACTCCCTTTCAGCTGGCCCAGTAAAGCTTGTGAGAGGAAACAGGATGTAAAGAGGAGGGGCGTTGGCAAAGCAGTGGGCTCCTCCAGTATGCCTCTCCTGCCATTGTGCTGGGCTGCCCGTAGGAGGATGGGGAGTAATGTATTTTTGACCTACAAGATCCCACTTGTGGGCCCAGAAGTGCTAGATCAGGGTGACCACTGAGAGACTGACTGCTCCCCCATCTTACAGCTGGGAAAACTGAAGATCAGAGAGAGAAGTGCCGGGTCCAAACCAGTAATAGCATCGGGATTGAAGTTCCACTCCATTTATATCCAAAGCCAAGTATGTATGTGTGAGAGAGCATGTGTGTGCACACATGTGTGAGTGTGTGTGTGTGTTTGTAAGGTGAGCAGGCCAGAGAAAGCCAGGCTTTGTCCTCAGTTGGCAATGGTGAGTTTAAACCAGGTTCACCAGAGTAGGCAGAATGCAGCACATGCTGATCCATGCCAGGCAGGGAAGGAGGAACAGCTATTCCTTAGCAGTGTCAGGCCTGTGACACCTTTCCTCTGAAGTCCAGCTTTGCAGGATCCCTGGATTTGAAGGAAGAATGTCAGAAAGGCAATGTCTCCATTCATAGAAGGAGTAATACTGTGGATGGCCTAAATGAGGACTTGCCCACTTCAGGGGTTGTATGGGGCAGTGTCCTGAGGGAATGGCTCTGTGGGGCTTACCAGGACAGACACCCTCTGGAGAGAAAGGGTCAGGCTGAGTCCCATGCGTTGCCTCCCCAAAATTGCAGCAGCCTCTGGTTGGCTTGTGTGGTGGGACATTGACACCATGATCTGGGACATCTGTAGCCTTTGTTCTGTGCAATTCTAAGCTCTTAATCATTCACCCATTTAATTCTTACAACAATGCCTGAGATGGGTTAGATTTTATTATTTTATTTTACAGCTGAGAATATTGAGGCCCACAGAGATTAATAACTTGTACTTAGACACAACTAGTTAGTGGAAGAACTAGGATTTGAATAAAAATCGTCAACCTCCTAGATCTGTGCCTTTAATAATCACTAGGTTTTATTACTTCTACCTGACCGTGCTGTGGAGCGGGGTCGACTGGTGAGTGGATCTGCTTGGGGTCTGAGAAAGGCTGTCAAGTGGGGACAGGTTTTGCTCAGCTCACATGGCCTAGGAAGAGCTCCAGTCCTTTTTCTCTTCAGTCATCTTTGACAAGGACTTGTCTGACATAAATTGTCAATGGACTTGTAATTCTTTTCTGTCAGTCTTTAACATTGTTGAGGGCAAGGACCCTGTCTGGTTAACTTTGTGTATCTGGCGCCTAGAATAGTGCTCGGCTCATGGTAGGTACAAAATAAATGGTAATTTGTTACTGTTGTTTGTTGCTGACACAAGTCTGGATTTGTATTCACTGTATTCTTTGAGATTAGAATTTCACCCACCTCCATGCAGATGTATGAATAAGGTTCTGGAAAGGCTCAACCTGTATTGACGGTTATGACTGACATGAACCTCTGAATCCTAGGCCTATGGGATAATTTCTGAGCTTATACACTGCGGTATGGAGACTCCTGCAGAATCTTTCTCACACTGTAGTCAAAAGTGGTATTGTTGGGCCCTTACCTCCCCATTCCCCACAGAGGTCAAGGTGTCCCCCAGGAATGATAACTATCACTGCCATTTATGGGGCGTTAACTGCTTTCCACATAGTTTCTGCTGAAGAATCTGTTGGCAGGTCTTCTCTGGCAGCCTAACCAACACTAGCTGTTGCATGACTATGGGGAGTCAGATCTCAGGAACTTCAGCCTGTGACCTAGGGAGGTTTGAGTTGATGAAGCCCCTCTGAGGAGCACTGGGGCCTTGAAAAGACTATTCTACCAGTCCCTGAGAAACTGCACTCCAAAGTGAGAGGCTGGTCTGAAAGTCATCAGCACCACGGACAGCAGCAGGTCTGTCCCTCTGTGGGGAGGAAAGGTCCTAGTAAAAATATGTGTGAAAATCTGTGTGTCTGAAGAAATAACTTTGAAGGTGAATCAGATCTCCCACTTGGGAGGAAGAGAATGAAGAAGTTAGGACATCAACCTTGGAGTTATTTACTTCTTTATTCATTCATTCAGCTTCATTCAGCAGACATTCAGTGTCTCTTCTTTGCCTTGTCTGAGCAACAGAGGACACCTAAATCACCAAAACAGAATTGTGGTTTACAGTCTACACATACATACAGCTATTGCTCCTCTGCCTCTAGTTGTGTGAACTTGGGTGGGTCAATAGCTTCTCTAATATCAGGATTTTCACCTGCATAACAGAGAGGATAATAGCCATCTCATTAGGCTTCTGGAAAACTAATTGAGATAATGTATGTAAAGGGCTTAGAACAGAGCCTGGAACACAGTCCAATACAATAAATGTGAACCATAGACTTCTTTTTTTAAAAATGCTTTAAGATTGACCTTTTTTATTTTATTTTATTTTATTTTATTTTATTTATTTATACAAGCACTGAGTACAGTCAGAATCGTGGGAGGGTGAGAGAATTCACCAGAGCCAGTGCAGGGAGCAGAACAGGTGGAAGGACCAAAATACACTGCTGAGGGGAGAAGCGGGTGGCAGGAGAGGTCTGCGCGCCATGTGGGACCCTCGCCTGGCGGCCGGGGATCGAACCAGCGCTGCAGAGGCCACGGGCAGCTTTGCAGCCCAGTGCTCAACCACTGCGCCACCAGGGGAGGCCCTAAACCATAGCCTTCTTGTTTGCATCACTACTCAGTCTGTCATGGACCCCTGCTTGGGAATGGAGTTTTAGGAATGACCAGTCCAGGTTGCTCTGACTAACATCAGGGTAAACAGTAGAGCTGTCTCTGGACCTTCAACAGCTTTCTCTATAAAATAATTTCTTCAGATACATAATTTCTCATTGAGACAATAGCCCTTTTCCCCCTGTAGTCTCAGCATCCAGGTAAGTTTTCTCCTGCCCTTCTTGGGTTAGCGTGTGGAAAGGCAAGTGAGTGGTGTGGACAAACCCCAGTCAGAATCTCGACAGAGACATGGCGCTCTCCTTGGTGCTGAAAACTTTTAGGCCAGCCTCTCACCTGGATGTGCAGCTACTCAGGAGACTAAAAGGCATATTTGAAAACCCCCCCTCTCCCCATAGTGATTGACCTCAGTAAGGTGATTTAGGACTCCTCCTTCAATCCTGCAGACATAAGGGACATCAAGCCAGAATGAGAACAGCTGGAGGAAGAGTATCATCATAGAATGACTGCCCCGGTCTTCAAACAATACTTCTCTATGCTAAGAGAAGCCCAGAAAGTGCAGTTCCCACCCTTCTCAGAAGATACAGAAATAAAACAATTACAGTAGATAACCATTCCCAATGGTCAGACTTATCCTTTCACTTATCCTTACAGCTGTCTGTAAGATAGGAGTTATTATTTCAGGTGTACAGATGAGGGAACAGAGACCCAAAGAGGTTAAGCAACTTCCCCAAATTCACAAAGCTTATGAGTGGGCAGAGGTGGGATTTAGACTTGGGTAAGCTGCCTCTGGAGTCCTGTCTCTTAATGCCACTTGATAACCCCCCTCAGGCTAAACTGAGAGAACAACATGCTGACAGTTTATCAGCAAGAGGTCCCTGGGCAGGTTTGTGGCCAGGACTGCAAAACACCTTGAAGCAGCAGACTGGTGGGCAGATTGCGGGGGTCAGGGGGGCACTGCTGTATTCTTCCTCTAGGGGGAGCCAAAGAGAGATGGGGCCTTGTCATCTCTTTTCAACTTCCTCTATACCTTGTCTTGGCATAAACGAGAGTCAACAAGGTGTGAAAGGGGAGGCTTTCTTCACCTGCCTGGGGGAATTATGATGTGTCTTCTGCCTCTGTGTCTGCAGTCTAGTGGATAGACACCCGCAGGGCTGAGGACTGCTTCAGTCTTCCTGTCTCCCTTTTCTCTCCCCACTGGTCACTTGGTTCCCAGGCTAGGTCCCCTGTTCTAAGTCCCTGCTGATATGGGAGTGGGACCCAAGACCCCCTGGGCTTCCTGTGCATGTCACCCCACCTGCGTGTAGCATGCCCATCACTGGAGTGCCTGACTTTCTCACTCCTTGTATCACGAGGCATGGATGTGCCAGTGTCTGTGGGGGTGTGACACTGACATAGTGCCAGGAACCAGCTCCTGACTCCCCCCCCCAATGGAAAAGTTGTTTCTTTGAAACGCTTCCAGCACCTGGCTTAATAGACCTTCCTGTGAGCATATTCCCAGTTCTGCACTGCTCCCCAGTGACTGGGGACCTTTTGTCAAGCACATATGAAATTAAGTGAAATAAAAATCATATTAAAAATTATTACCATCTAACAGCCATTAGTCTGCACACTGCTGTCAGCCTGTGATGGATTCCTCACTTACTTCAATGAATGTTCTAACGACAGTGATAAAATCACTCAGAAAAAATAGAATAAACTGTTAACCCTCTCCCCATCGACACTTGTTTTTCTTTGGGAAAAACACAATAAAGGATGTTGGTGGAAGGGGTTGAGCTATATATGACTCTTTACACTGAAAAATGAACCAGGTGCAGGGCGCTAGGTTTTGGGAGAGAATTTTGTTCCAGATTCTAGGAATCAGCTCTAGTTTCTGAGGTCCGGGCCAGGACTGGTTTACACTTGGAGTTGTTCCTGAGTCAGGTCATGTAGGATCTGGTTCTGTTAGTTTAGACTTTAAACTAGGTTAATTTATAGAAATAGATTTATTAAGCATCTACATCTGATAGGAAGGCCCAGGTGAACAATAATGTGTAGCTGAGCTGGGGCAGTGGCCTAGGGAATGGAGAAATAGGGTAGATTAGAAAGATGCTTAAAAGGTAGAAGATAGGAACTAGCTAATGGGTTTTATTGCAGTAGAGAGAGTGAGGTATCATGGATGTTTATCGCAGAAGTGACTACAGGCTAGAGGGCATTATTTATTGAGAGAGGGGTCAGAGGGTCCTTCTGTATGGACAGGAAGAGCTCAGTGTGGAGTTCATTGAGTTTACAGAACCTCTGGATATCCAAGCACTGTGGAGAAGCTGCTGCAACCCTTGATCTGTAACCCCAGAGAGGGCGTGGACAGGCAAGATAGGGCATCCCTGGCTTCCGGGTGCAGGGGGAAGCCACAGAGTGGGGGAGGCCATGCATTAAGAGAGAGCAGTCCCATGGGCAACAGCCATTGAGATAGTCCCAGGAGGAGAAAGAGGAGCAGCTGGGGAGGAGGAAGACATACAGGAAGATGAGAGGTCACTGAGGTCAGGGAGGGACAGTATGTCAAGAACTGGGAGTGATTACTAAAGTGAAGTGT